ATGAGGTTTTGAATGAAAGAGGTGAGTTCACCAAAGATCCGAAGAATATTCAGAAAGTGTTTTCGGACTTCATCCTGAATAAGTGGCGTGAAAATCCTATTAATTGGGATGTATGGCCATCTATTATTGACAATTAAGTGCATATCTCCAGATTTCATAATAGTTTGGTTGCTGAAATTACTATTTGTGAAGTGTGGGATGAAGTGAGAAGTATGGGGCCAAACCGTTCACCAAGCATTGACGACGTCACTTCATCCCTTTTTAGACATTTTTGGATTGTCGTGGGGAAAGATGTATTCAATGTTGCTTGACAATTAGAAGGAGAGAATCATTATCCTTCTCCCTAAATGTGATGCGGCAAACTCCCCAAATAAATATCATCCCATAAGCTTTTGCCAATCTATTTACAAGATTGTTGCTAAGGTGTTGGTGGGAAGACTCAAAGGTGTCCCCTTCAAAATATCTGTTGAACAAACCCCCTTCATCCCTGAACGATCCATTTCGAAGCATTGCCTCTTGGCTTAAGAGATGTGTAAAAGACTTTGGCATTAAACTTCAACGACGGGTTTTATGGCGTTAAAAATTGATATGCAACAGGCCTGTTCGTGAAAAGCTCGTGTTCGACTCAATAAGCAAGCGAGCCAAACACAAAAAAAAAAATTTAGCAGTAGTAGCTATGGGTGATCAAATTATTAAAACGTGTGAACACTTTAAATATCTCGAGTCTATTGTTCAAAGTGATGGTGATATTGATGGAGATGTTATTAGTAGAATTCAAGTTGGTTGGTTGAAGCGGAGGAATTGTGTGATAGAAAATGATAGAAAAGTACCGCTTACACTAAAAGAAATAAGTTTATAAGATGGTAGTGAGACCTGTAATGCTCTATAACGATGAATGTTGGCCTTTAAAAGAGGAGCATGAAACTAAGTTAAGTGTTGTCGAGATAAGAATGATTAGGTGGATGAGTGGCTTTACACTTAGAGACAAAATGTGAAATGAATATATCCGTGATAGGGTTGGTGTAGCTTCAGTGACGGACAAAATTAGAGAGAGCCGTCTTAGATGATTTGGTCACTTTAAACGTCGACCATCTGATCATCTGATTAGAAGCGTAGATATTTTAGATTCGATTTATGTTAAGAAAGGCATAGGTAGACCAAGGAAGACTTGGGCATATTGTATAAAAATTGATCTTAATTTATTAGAATTAAACGAAAATATGACACTAAATAGGATGCAATGGAGAAAAAGGATTCATGTAGCCAACCCCACTTAGTGGGATAAAAGTTTTGTTGTAGTTGTTGTTGTTGTTGATATCTCAATCTCGACTTGTTTACACCCCTAACGGTTGCATGCATGATTAGGGTCATCAAAATGGTTTTTTGTTCAAGAACAACTCGTGTTCGGCTTGCTAAGCAAACGAGCCGAACACGAACAAATTTTTTTTTTTCGAAATATACCAGTCAAACCCGAACACACTTTTTGCGTAATATTTTTTAATGAGTCGAACACGAGCTGAGCCCAGGCTCGCTCGTGTTCGGCTCGTTTACACCCCTACCCACAACATATGATATGAATTCCCACAAAAAATCTCTCTTCTCGCCCAAGTAAAGTGGGTTGAATTCTATTCTCATATATGAGCAAGTCGCCTACCTTACAAATTAATACATAGTAGAATTGAATTTGGAATTGTGTATCCTCTTACTTTTTTTTTAATCCAAAATGAAGCATTATTGATAAGGTAAATTGTATCATTCAATCTACAATCCCACAAATTCTTCCACTCAAAATAAAGAATCTACTTCTGAGTTTAATTTTTCCTCTCATCATACACTTTTTCTCCTAAAATTAGAAAAAAAAAACTTATTTTGAATGGAGGAAGCATTCTATACATTTACCTAATCTTTGGCTCTATCTAAAATAAGCACAACATAAATACAGCTATAAAAGTAACAAAAGCACATCTTAAATATATAAAAAGTAAAACAAGGAAACAATTTTTAAGAAACTTAACTTCTATTAAAATATAAAGTTACAAGAGCACTTATTCATGCCATCAATAAAATTTTGCTAAACTATCCTCTTAGCCTATGAGACCACTCGAATGAATAATCATGCTCGAACATCTCACATCGGGAGGCGGTACCTAGGAGCTTCCTCCCACGCATCATATTCCATCTTCAATAATGAGCCAAGATAATAATAAGCATCTAAATCAGTAAATAGCCTCATTAGCTTGATCTTGGCATCTTAAAGATGAGTGGATTGTATCACCACAATGGCCCCATGTGACGGGACTCAATATTAAAAATAGTACATCCTTAATCAAGAAGCTTGTGCTCCACTCCTTCATTAGTGATTCAAGAGAGCACAAAAGTATGATTAATGACAAGTGGCTAGATAATAAGATTGATATTTTGCTTCCTTTATTGAAACTCATTCATGATCAACCACCCCTCATTTCAAATTTCATGTTTACTCTATCACCGATCTCATGAACCTAGGCTATCAGTTCCAAGATATCCTTATGAATTGTCACTTCCATTATACTCCTTGAGTAATTAGAAATTCTTAAAGATCACTTCCATTATTACTTTGTTATTGTGATCATCCTTTACATGTGATGGATGGTTATATTTTTCATTGCTTCCTTCATTGCAGTCGCCTCCTTAAACACTTTATGTTACCTTTTCATCCTTTACTATCATATATGCTATCACTTTCCTTATGGCCTCCTCTATTATAGCTAATTTGACTTTTGCCTTTAGACTACCTCATCTACCATCTCTGTTTTGATCTTTCATTTCATTCCAAGTGTCACTCAAATTTGACCATTCGCATATTGTTATGTCTTAATGAATCGATGATGGTGAGAGTTCCCATGAGAAGCTAAAGGAAGAAGATAAAGTAAACTCGAACAATATTTTAGTTTCACTTTATAAATTTGTTTTCAAAGTGAGGAGGTTGTGTAACGCATTATTTCATATGCTCCATCAGGGTAGTTCACATGTTCTACCTAATCAAATTTAAAGCTTAGAAGAAGCTTGCGCGATGTCAATATAAAACCATCCAACTTCTACATAATAGACCAATTCAAGATTCCTTTAAATGATCAAATACTAAAAGACTTGCCTTCAAGTTCCACTCAGCTTGAACCTAATCAAATCAACAAGAAGGTATCAAATGATTATCTTCTAGCATGCTCCCACGGTTTCCTCTGTACTCCCGATCATATTCATTCCTCAAAACCTTAAAAAAAAACTCAATATTTTTGCTCTATCTTTTATCATTAACCTACCTGACCGCTCAATGATGCCACATGGCATCCTAGGTATGAAGGAAAGGGCATAACACATCATTGATACATGAACAATGGTCCTAATTCATTAAGAATATGCCATTTATGGTGCCTTATTTTGCAAGGGAATCATGGCCCACTGCATCTATGTCCTCAAGACAATGCCATGGCATCTATATCACCAATCAATCATTCAAACACCCATTGACTAGCACATGATTGACTTCTATCATGCCACTTTGATCACATCCTTTATTGCCACAATGACTCGACACTTGTGACCCGCACAACAACTTCCAATTGTAGCATCACCTCTAATCAATGCTCCAACTATACACGCCTCTTACTTGGCCTCGATAAGAGATTTTGAAACATTGATTGTTGAGACTAAGCTCATTCAACTGTTATCAAAGGAGAGCCTAAAAACTCATACTCTTCCTCTTAGTCCTCCAATAATGAACTATATTCTCCTTTTTCCTTATGGTGGACATATGCCAATGAACAAACTCATATGAGCACTTCACTCTCCATGCTCCATCAATAGAGTAACCCAACTCAGAGGCATATCATTCTACTTTGTTTCTCTTCTTTATGCCTTCTTTGCACTTCAGATCGCCACCACATGCATGTTTTGAGAACTAATTTCCTGTTGCTCTCTAAAACTTTTTACAGTAGAAAGTTGTTTTTTCAACCTGAATTGTTAAAATACAGTGATTGTAAGAACATTGTTGTCAGATTTTTTTTAATATATATAATTTTTTTGAATATATATATATATTTATAATTTTCACAGCAGCTTTCTAAAAAGTATGTTTTTTTCCACAACTTTACAACAATCACTGTAATGATCTGCTAGGAACTTTGGTCAAATCCTGTACGTTCACTCTACAATACCATTTTCTCGAATTCACTGTAATTTTTATTTAGCAAGAATAACACATTTTGAGACTTAAGGAAATTTGCAAAGAACACAAAGAAAATAAGGTTATCTATTTTCTAAGATTTAACACAGAAAAAATTAAAAACAAACTATTTGAAGATGATTATAGTGAACATAATATTAGGCATAATTTTTTTAACCAAAAATTCTCTGAGCATGGAGTAATAGCGGGGCAAAATAAAACTAATAGAATTAGCTATTATCTATGTCGAATGGACATAGATTACAAAATAATTTTAGGCAAAAGCTAACACCACCATATGCTGCTTGATTAATCCGATAAATAAGAGATTAATTCTAAAGAATGCATTGTGAGATCTATTTTAATAAAAGAGACCAACTATCATCAAGAAGAATAATTCCAAGATTCAAAAATCCAAAACTTTTACAGCAAATTTAATTTTGGTTTATTATTTGAATAATTCAATAGTAGTAGAGCTTAATTTATTTGAAAAATCTTTTACACCCTCAACATATTTAATTCTTTACAAACATACCACTCAATTCCTGTGTAGTTTATATATGTTACCTGCACTTTATTTTTTTACATTCATACCACCCAAATCTAAAAAGGTCGCTATTTTGACTTTGAAAAAATGAAATGCAAATTTTAATGCATAAGAGGCATATATATAAAAGTTGAAATTTAGCTATTAGATATATAAATGCACAAGAATTGAGTGATATGCATGTATTATTGAAAGAGCAATAATATTCCAATTTTAATCATTCAATCAACTCAGAATAATACACAGCTCGAAGCACTTAAGAGAGAAATTTTGACATAAGTTTACCATATAATTGTTTCTCTACTCACAGCATAATAAAGCAACACCACATCTTACATCACTATAGAAGACATTTCTGCTATCCAAAGCTGGTAAAAAACATAAACAAATAAGAGCTACGTAACCGACTGAAACACAATAGCTTATTTCTCACAATATCTAAAGATGAGATGGCGATAGAATAAAGATATTTAAAAGGGCTGATATCACTTCACATATTATTGAAGGAGGAGAGTTACTTACTCGGACCAAAACTTGATGAAAGAGGAGATGAACGATTTGATTGCACCCCAGAAAGGGTTTGGTTCCGAAACCAGAGACTTTTTGGCAGCCGTCTCCTCGTTTGAAGAGCTGCAGGAGATAAAAGTCCATCGAAATGGCAAAATTATTTAGTTTTATTAATATCAAATTCAGGCTTTCTTATATCTATTAAAAGGACAGCTTTTTTCTATTATATTTTATACATATTTGTGTCTGTGTGCCCGCGCATATAAATGCACATTTAATGCTCGACCACATATTTTACTTGGGGGGTGCTAGCAACACCCAAGGTTTAACGTAAATAAGATTTAGTAAATCTTGTAAATTCAGATTTAACAAATCCAAAAAGGTTAAAATATAGAAAAACATTTAGCTTAATTAAGGTTAAATCCAACTAAATCCTTTTGAAGTATTTCGCGACAATAGAAGCGATAACACAAAAGTGTATTTTCTTCCTCACTTGAATCCGTTAGATCTACCTAATAAACAGATTTAATAAATCGAGGGTTTACATCAAAACAAGGAAATATTGGATTTAACAGACGGCGGGATTTAAGTTCTTTTGTTTTTTTTTTTTTTTTTGACATTTGATGGAATTGACGTTAAATCATAGCGCAAATCCTATTAATATTATGTATCAAACACCCTATAAATGTCATAGAAAGTTTAATTTTATGTTTTGAATAATATATAGGAAGAAAGAAAGAATTATGGGCAATGCCAGCTTAGCAAAAAAAAAATTTTAAGGTTCCAGGATTCGAAATAGGCTCTTAAGCCTGCAAGCACTCCACACTTGGACCAAAATGTTAAAACACCAATTATCACTCAACTTTTATAAATGCATATACTCTATGTTCATTTTGAAATTATTTCAAGTCAAACCATTGGCACAAAATTCAACTAGAGTTCAATTGATTCTAATTTGATTTTATTCGGATATTAGAGATTTTCAAGCGAATTCAGATTCGAATGACATTACTAATTCAACAGAAGTACCGTGATAAGAGATCAAAGTGAAGAAGTGCGGATAAATTCTAATGTATTTACATCTCCAATACCTAAATTTTGAGTTTTTACAAATATACAACCCAAATCTTTCATATTACATTAAAAATACCAATATATTAACTTTTAAAAAGGAGAATAAACCTTTCATGCATAAGAAAGGTGGCATATAGGTATAAATTGAGGTGTAGGAACACATCAAGATCTGATCTTATCAAATAAGATGGATTAAGATTGGACCATAGCTAGATTAGTTTCAGTTTCAAAAGAACTCGGCTCAAAATCCATGACTTTGAGTCAGCTAAATTGATTCCTACAAAATCTGATCTTCAATATATAAAATATGTAATATCTATGTTGTCATGATTATTTTCTAAATATATTAAAAATTCTAAAGCATATATAGAAGAAATACATATTAACTTTCAATCCAATTTCAACCAGTACAATTGAATTCAAACATGAATAAAAAAAGCAAATAAAATTATCAATTTATATTTGTGGCTAATTAAACAGCTCATTTCAAGTTTCATCCACTCATAACTTTGATCCATTTTTGGATATATCCAAACCAAGCTAAAAACCTTAGTGTTTGGCAGCAAAGATGAGCATAGTTAAAATAAAATGTTAAAATGAATACTTGGAAAACAATGAGCTAGAATGATAAATGATTATTATATTAAATGAAAATGACATATCCCCTATTGATATTTAAAAAACTAAAAATAGACTTGAATGATTTAACTATGTAAATTATAAGCCATAATATGCACCAATTAAGAGAGTTGGAACAGATATGAAAGAATTACAAAGGAATAATAAAAAAAGGAACATGGCCAAAAACAATGCAAAAGACTTGCACAAAATAGAAGTAACAAAATGAAGCATTTAATTGGATGAGTGTAGGATAATTCATTTGCTGGCCGTAAATAGTTAGGACTTCGACAAGGTAAATGATGATAGTGATGGATCATATTCTAGTAAAAGTTGCTAGAATCAGAAAACAAGGCACTTTCCAGACACACACACACAAACTAGTTTTTCAAGATTCTCAATATTGTTACATTGCAAGGATTTGAATCTCGGACCTGCTAATATTTCCTTAGAAATGTGTTAAACATTACAAATCCATTTACTATAGAGAACAGAATTAAAAATGCAGTAATCTACTAATTTAAAAACCGTACTTGGTATAAATTCGGGACGTTGCGGTAAATAGGGTAAGTGTGTAAATTACCTCATAAAGCCTCCACCATTCACAATCCTGAAAGCATCAGATTGTTTTTCAGACTTGACATCTAAATGATCTGCCTCTTCGATGACAGGTTCAAGTAGTTTGCTTAAAGCATTTTCGGATTCTCTAACAGTACCAACAGAACTACCAGACTTATCTACCGGTTGTATCTGCACCAGCAAAACGTGACTCAATCATCAAATCTGGATCTAAACTAATAATGCAAGCATAGCCAACCATTTGACTGCAATATTGGACGATATAGTATAAAAGAATAAATAGTTCATGCATCTACAAGTATTTTAAAACAAAAAGCTCAGAAAATCAACCATACTTTGTATATTTTAGGCATATATGCAATATATCTGCAATTAACTTTTTTATTATTTAAAGGAAACACATGAAACAACAATTTCAAAAGTAAAACCAACAAATATCAATTATGAGCCACCAAAGCAAAAAAAACATACAATTATGTAGCTTAAATAATGGAATTCAAAACAAACTTAGCCAAACTTAACCAAAATAAGAAAATTAAAAAAATCTAATTAAATTTAAATACAAACTAGATTAAATACTAATTTGAAAACTATATTCAAATCCCAACTGCAATCTTTTATAAGATTCATGTTCAAAAAAACAAGAGTCAGAACCAAATTCACGGTACATTATATCTTCATATCATTTCTTTAACCCTTCTAAATTCTCCATATGTAACCCTCAGTGTAGAGTAACCAAATATGTTGCCATGCAGCTCATCAAATTAAATAAAATATATGAAATTAAGGCCTGAAAATGGTGTTAGTTCTAGTTTAGCATATCTTACATCATTTTCTGTAGCTCTAGGGACAGGAAATCTTGTTGTCTGTAAGACAAGGCTATCCACATTTTTTCCTTCTGCTGCATCAATTCCTTGTTCGCTATAAAAATCAATCTCCCTGTTTGAGCCAAATTGTTCTATTTCTGAGCAAGCAGATCTGGAAACATTTGACAAAACAGTTGGAGCTACTGTTTCAGAGGAACCATCTTGGTCTAATTTATCTTCAACTAACGTCAAGACTTCGTGATTATTATGCCCCCTGCAGCGATTTGACTGATCATCTACAGTGTCTGTGAAATGCATACTAGTTCCTAACAAGTTCTTGGTAACAGAAGTCCCTGAAATGTTAGTGCTCTCTTCAAAACACTGGGTTATCACAGATATTTTATTCTGTCTGTCTTCGTCTTTCTGCTCAGATCCAACCAAAAAGTTTCCTGACACAGTAGGATATAAGGAAAGTGTTTGCTTAGCATATTGAACACCAATATCTACTGGGCTGTTAGGTTGAACATTTGATTCCTTCATCCCTGTATAAACCAAATTCTCATGTAGGACGCTGCCGTTAGCAGAGTTTTCTATAAGATGAGTTTCGCCATTCTTCTCTTGCGAAGAAAAATTCTCATTTAGATCAGTTTTGAACTTCACCTGAGAACCAGGTTCGTGTGTTGAAATATTTTCTTCATTTGAAACTTCTAGGGGCTCCATTGAAAAATCATCATCAAAATGAGCATGATTTATTCCATTATCAATTGTTGAAATGCATAATTTTCCATCATCTACCTCTTCTTCCGAGTAAAACTCAAGATTTAGTAATTTTGATGTCGGGTTTCCAGGACCCAGCACTTTGTTTTCTTGAATTATGTCTCTCACGATTTCCCTTATGGTGTAGAATGATCCGCCAACTTCCTTGTGTGTGAGATTAAGGGATGGAAATTTCCCATCATGTGAGCTCTGGTACCTGAAGGAAATTTTTAAATTCAGTATTAGTTTTACATTAATTTGGTATTGGTAGTTTCAGTATGAAATACAGTATTATAAAAAAAGTATGGAAATTAAATGATGGATAAAATGCAAGCATCATAACGGTAAATCAATGCAGAGAATACATGAATCGTATTCTGAACTTGTTACTATGAGAAGGATTTATAAAGTTTAACATGAAAAGGATTTATAAAACCAAAGATATTTCCAAAAGCAGCAAGAAGTAAAGCTGAACTGTGACTCCTTTTTTCTCCGTCTTCGGCTTTTGCAGTAGGCATTGGATTAGGACCGGCATTTTTCACATCCTGCCATGCCTCCTTTACTGCTCTTTTTTATAGATTTTCCTTAGAGTTCAACAGTTTCCTCTCCTCGTGTAAGCCTCACCCACCTCAAATCCATCACACTTTGGCTAAAATGGTGGTTGGTAAAGCAAAATAGATAGATCCTCAATACGGGACCTTAACCACAACGTCTAGAGGAGCTGTTGAAGGTTTTTATGGTTAAATGTGGTCATCAACTTCCAAGCTAAACACAAGACTGATGATTAGACTGAAAGTGTTAGAAGTTATTAGGATCTGATTTATGTCATTTCCTATTTTATGTATTTCATTTTATCTCTGGGTTGTTATTACGAATTGATTAATTGTAATCTTGGAGATATAGGTGTAATGTATTTCCTATTTTAAGAATCATATAAGTTGTATTTATGCATTTCTTTCATACAATTAAAGTATTCCGCTAAATTCTCAAAACCAGCGTGGTATCAAAGCCTTGAAACAGACCCTGGAGTCTCCGTCGGAGGAGAAGATCTCCTACCACCGGACACTTCCTATTCCCTGCAGCAGACAATCTTTCTCTCTACATGACCTAGCAGTTAGAATTCCTCCCCCTGCAAGTCCTAGCCGCCGAAACTCCTTACAAAAATTAGCCATCATAACTCTCTCCTTGCTAGTCCCTAGCTACCGAAACTCGTCTCCCTGCATGCCCGCGCCTCTGAAATTCCTTCATGTTGAAACTAGCGTCAGAACTCTCTCTCTCCATGTACCCATCTGTCGGAACCCCTCCCCTTACAATCCTCTAGCAGTTGGAACTCCTCTCGCTGCAGGCCCTAACCTCCGAAACTCCTTCCTGTAGATACTAACGTCAAAACTCTCTCCCTGCAAGTCCCTATTCGTCAAAACTCCTCTCCCTACAATCCTCTAGCCATACGAACTCCTTCCTACGGCTAAAATTTCCTACAGTAAGTTGCCTCCAGGATTTCTTCCTTCTGTAGAGATCTTACTCGTACGGGAATTCTACGACAGCGCAAAATTCTTTCCTAGGCAGCCAAAATTCTCCTTGAAGACCATTCTTCAACTCTTCGCTACAGCAAATAATCTTCCTACTGTAAGTCTTCTCCTTGCCTCAGTAGCACTGAACAGCCATTCGTCGAGCTTTCTTCTTGCCTGACAACCCTTCTCCTTGACCATGGCAACTATCGAATATTCTACTGCAATCGAGAAGCAGCAGCAGCAAGCAACAATCAATCGTTGTTTTCATGCAAAGACCAGAAATAAGCCCAAACCGCCTTGATGGCAAGGAAAAAGCAAACTGCTTGCAATTCCACAAGCGGAAATGCCCCAAGGAAGCAGTCGGCAACCAAAGTGGTCAGGAAGTAGGCTCCTGTGACCGTTGTTGTGAAGAAACACCATTGTTTCGGTCCCAGAACAATTGCGCGGAGAGAGATCAAGATGTCCCATAAGAGCACGGAGCTCCTCATCCGTAAGCTTCCTTACAACGTATGGTCCGCAAAATTGAGCAAGATTTCAAGACCGATCTCCAATTTTAGAGCTCTGTCGTTGCTGCACTTCATGAGGCTGAGAAGGCTTACATTGTCAGTCTCTTTAAAGACAAATTTTTGTGCCATCCATGCGAAGAAAATATATTATTATGCTGAAGGATATTCAGCTTGCTCGTCAGCTCCGTGGCCCTCCTTGCCACATGCAGAGATCGGCTCCTTCCATGCCTCAGTGTCTGATCCTCTTCGTTGGCTTTGTTGGAACCATGTCTGATTCCTCCACCTCCGAGCTTCTGTCCACGTTGTTCTTGATTCCACCGAAGGCTCTGCACTAACTTAACCCTCGCACAAACCTGAGGACCTGAACACCACAAACTCCATGGGAAAAAGGCAAATAACTTTCGACCAAATCTTCCGATGTTAAAGATCTCGCTACAACCTAAGAATCCACAATAGTTATGTCGGCTCCAACTCATACCACGCATGACTCGTCGAACTCTTTTGCGAGTCGGGTGGAATAAGCTGCTTAGTTCTAGTCAGTTCTTCTCTAGTCTGTCGACCTCTCATGTCCGTCAAGAATCCTCATTCTGAGGATGATTTTTTTTTCTTTTTTTTTCTTTTTCCCCCCAAAAAATGGAATTGATGACGCTTTCCTTTGTTCTCCTTTGTCACTATAGGTTTATCTTTTACTTTTTCCTGTTGCGGGCCCTCCTTAAGAGCATTTTCTTGCAACATGCCCTCCTTCAGAGCCTTTTCCTGCAGTAGGTTCTCCTCCAGAGCTTTTTCCTACAAATGGTCTTCCTTCGAAGCTTTTTCCTGCAACAGGCCCTCTTCCAAAGCTTTTTGCTTGCAGGCCATGCTTAGCAGCTTTCCATGTATATTGTCTACTTTTCTGCAAACTTCCCTGCAGCATTAACTATAGCAACCTTCTACCTAACTACAGAAACTGCAAAAACTCTAGTCAAAGACAAATGCCGTCAACTAGAAGTCTCCCTAAATGCTCTTAGGGATGAAGACTTCAAGTTTAATCTCACAAAGGACTTCCTTGTTTGTTGTTTCATGATTTCAAAATCAAGTTGAACACGATTTGTGTCTAAGTTTCAACTTGAGGGGGAGTGTTAGAAGTTATTAGGAACTAATTTATTTTTCCTTTCCTGTAGTTTCCTATTTTATGTATTTCTTTTCATCTCTTGGTAGTTATTAGGAATTAATTAATTGTAATCTTGGAGATATAAGTATTACATCTTTCCTATTTTAGGATTCATGTAAGTTGTATTTATACCCCCTTTCCTATCAACAAAGTATTCCGTTAAATTTTCAAAACCAAAAGAAAGTTTAAACCATGCATTTGCATAAAGGCTCCAAGACTTTTTATGGCAAGTCTATCACCAAACCAAAAAAATAATGACTTGCACAAAACCCAATTCTCTACATAAAAAATAAAAAGTTACCTGACCCTTGTCCTGATAATCATCCAAAATGAAAGCAATACTAACCTTCACTAAATCGAGTGGAAACACTCTATTCCACCAAGGACTTGGACAATTATTCAGTCCCAGCTAACAGGTGATATAGGTTCTAAGTCTTCCACAATCAAACCTCTCTATTTAGGCTACAATTATCTACGGTTGAGAAGGTAATGTAATGTTCCCGAGATGACTACAATAGTTCAATAAGATTGTTGATACTATTAAAAAAACTTACATGTAAAATACAATAAGTAAAGAAGGTTTGTGCCAACCATTGTAGGCACAAATTCCTCAATTTATATGCCAAAATGCCAAGCCCATAAAGTTAAGGAAAAAAAAAATTCAAATTCGCTCAGCAGACTACAGAAATAAATCTAGCTCTTCAAGCTTACAATCTCCCGATCAGCCAGACATAAATCAAGATACAATTTCAATACTACATTAACAAGATTCATTTCCCTTACGACGGAGAATGTTATCAAAAGACCAAATCCATCCAAATAAACTTGATCAAAGACATTGAGGGTCAATCTCTTCAACCGGTCAAATAGCTTCGAAAAGTGGCTAAGAATAACTCCAAGGCTGGCAAAGCATTATCAACCTAAGCTTAAAGAATGCTCAGCTTACCAATCAATTGCCATGTGAGTTAAAGATGGCTAAACTTTAGATTTGTTGATAGTCTTCCTCACCAACAAGTGAAATGGTGTTCATGCGGGGTAAGCCACACTCAATAATAAAATAATGTAAACTAAAAATAGCTTCTCATCAATTCAAGAAATCTATTACTGAAACGAATATATCAAACAAATTTAGCATCATCACAAATTGTTGGGTTCTTCATCCTTATGATTATAATTATTAGAATATCATAACTAAAGGGATTCGCCAACAAAATTGTGCTTTTGATTAAAAAACAAAAAACTCAAAGATAGCCATAACCCCAATATTGGGTTCAAATAGTTCACTTCATATCCAAATGTGTTCTCAAAATTACTTGTGTAGCCAATCTACTAATTAAAAAATCAAGCAAAATCAAGATGTCCTTAAACCCAATGCTGGGCACACTTATTGAAGACCACAATGGATGGGGTTACTAATAACATCAATGCTTTCAAGCCAATGTCCCTAATGATGGGTTTGGCTATTAAAATTCATAACGGGAGATTCCCAACCTAAAAATACATCCCTTAATTTCCAAGGCAAACCTTCTGGGGATCTAATAACCCAACAATATAGGTAATTACAAATAATCTTTAACTAGAGGGTAAATGATGATCATCACAACTCATAATGTTCGAGAATAAGTCTCAAGAACCAGCATGAAATTAAGATATGATTAAATCACTTGCTTTGTAGTGAAGGGTGTAAATCATGCAAATCATTGTAGAGGAAACGCATCTAAAGCCAAAGCCTCCAATACAAAAATACTAACAAGCATGCACACACACACACACACACACACACACACA